GCCACCGCCTTATATGCCTTGATGCATGCGCGATACACTTTAAGCCCAATTTCTCTTCTTTTCTACTTTTAGGGAGCTCTTGGTTATGGTATACTTTAATGACTCATCGAATACAAGTAATTCATGGTAAAAAGGAACTTGTTTGCTATATAGAGCTTGCGTGGCTTGAACTGCTCCCAACTTCCCAAGTTTCTGTCTGGTGCCAACGAACGGGGCCTAACGTGCAAAGCAGCGCCACTGGGCATACCGATCACAGAAACACCCCGCTTCGTGGTGTTGGTGCGACTGCTGATTGGATGGACTTCGCCTCGAATGGTTTCGGCTAGCCGCAGGTGGTCAGACATCGCCTTCGGTCTTCAGCCTTCAGCCTTCTCTCTCCTCACTCCTCACTACAACATCAACCGCTAGCCTAATCAACTGCCACCGACGCTCGACTTGTACTTGATGACCGAAGGAACCGCTTCGTCAGCTCAAAAGATTGACACACTGCAGATTTTGAGGGGCTTTCCTGAGGCGAGATGGATAGCTCAACGGCAGATATGTGCTCCCGCTGTGCCAGCATTCCGTGGGATGATTTGGAATACATGGACACGGAATCGTTCTGGATAGATGAGAAGCCAACCTTAGGAGATCTTCAGGCCTCGTCCTGCCGGCTATGTCGTCTCATCACCACTGCCATCACGCGAAACCCCGCACGAGACGCTCACCTGGAATCCGCCGTGAATATATTTTGGCGATCAACGACTGATCATGGCGACGACTGCCTGGGATCATTAGGCCTGGGGTTAGGTCAAGAAGGCTTTGCTGGAGAGCTGATTCTCACTACCAAGTTTATCGGAGAAAACGCTAAGGCCTGGTCTACAGTAGCTTCAAGGCGCTTCGATTTTGCGAAGACCAGACAAAATCTCGAGGTTTGTAGAGCTTCACACAAATCATGCGAACCTAAGACATCGCCGCAGCTTCACAACCTAAGGGTCATAGATTGCATGGAAAAGTCTGTCGTGGTGGCGCCGAGAGGCTGCTTATTTGTCGCACTTTCGTACGTGTGGGGTGAGCTTTCTGCGGATAGCTACGTCCTAGGGTCACGAATCGCGTTCCCGCGGACGATAGAAGATGCAGTGAAGTCCACTCAGGAACTAGGCCACCGGTATCTCTGGGTTGACAGATACGTAAGACCACACGAATACTCAACCAAACTGAGCTGACGGATCAGTGTATCGATCAAGAGAATCCTTGCGATAAAGAGGAACAAATCGGTCAGATGGGACACATTTATGCCAGTGCGCAGGTGACCATTGTTGCTGCAGCGGGCGCGGACCCCTCCCATGGCCTTATGGGCATCAGTAGAGATCGCAAGACATTGTCAGCTCAAGAGCCAGTTGGAAGCTCCCGCCTTCTATGTCTATTTCCCCGACCTATCCACGATTACATCGCACACTCCCCTTGGTTCTCGAGGGCTTGGACCTTGCAAGAAGGGTATCTCTCGAAAAGGATTCTGTGTTTTACAGAGCGTGACGCAGTTTTTGCTTGCAAGTCGAGTAAAATGATAACGGAATCCGTAACATACCCCCACAGATTCACTACTGACTCCCACGCCAACATGGAAAATACCAGGACTGCATTGAGCATCCAGTGCGAAACTCTCTTAGATGCAAATAGCATAATGAAAGCATACTCGAGACGGGCGCGAGGGCACGAATCCGACATGCTAAACGCTATTGTCGGTGTTTTGAACGTTTTGAAGAATGGTAGTTCACCGGTCTATCACATCTGGGGAGTTCCTTTTACTATTACCCAAAGATTGAACGATGCTCACACCATCGATAGCATCGCGTCCATTTCTCTGAATTGGTACCATCCCCGGAGCGCCCGTCGTCTTCCTGAGTTCCCGAGCTGGTCAACCCTAGGATGGATAGGACAAGTCTACGATTGGGGTGAATCAGAAGTCACACCCCACTTCATGATCAAGTATTGGTCTGGCGAAATATATCAGGAACTCGACAACGGTACCTGCGACCTAGACTATAAATACTACCGAGATGTTACCCATCGATCTCAATATCTAGAGATCACGACGGATGTCGTACAAATCGAGCTCTGCAGTGGGAGGCGCGACGACATAATTAGTTACTTCCTCCAACCTACATTCATTAGACCAAAGGAAGTCAGGGATCAGAAGGAGGTCTGCCCAAACACAGAAGTGCAAAGTCCATTCTTTTGGCTGAATCTGGACGATGAGACAACTTTCGATTTCGCGTTACCCGTTGTGTGCGCTACGATGACGCCTCCTGAGATCGACTCTGGTTCTTGGAGGTCTTTTCTGGACAAACATCCTCTGTTGCTCGTTTTCCAGCAGAAAGCAAAGTCTTACGAGCGAATTGGTGCCTGCCACCCTCTCGTGTATACTATCAACAGGGAAGGAGAGTATACATTCGACCCTAACCCTGACCTCTGGGAATTTGTCCCACATGGCGAGCCAGGTGCCTGGGATCAAGTCGCAGAGAGACGTACCTTTCTTCTTGGCTAGACAGCTTCGCACACAGTTTTGCGCTTCAGAATATACTTCTTCCCGTAATATAATCTTCTCGCGAACTTGATGCTTCTTTGGTCATTAACGCGCTTGTGACCGTGGTGGCTATGCAGCATCATCAATGTTGCTCAGCCTCGTCCGCATTGGGTAAAGCGGCAAATGGCCTGGGGCGTCATTTCCCGGCTCGAGCAGCTGCTGCCTGCCAGCCTTCCCCACTAACTTTTCTCTCGATATAACCCACGCTCCCTACAATTCACGCTGTATTTCAACTTCGCTATCCATAATGACTTTTTTTTCGCTGCATGTAGTTTCAATCTTCCGCTGATGCACTGCCCTTCATCGTTCTAAGCGACTTGTTGTTTTTGCGTTTCGCGACGCCGAACCCCACACTCCCACCTCGACTTCAGTAACATACTCATCATGAGCAGCGAGACTACAAACCTGTCGATCGACGATGAGACTCCCACGTGTGCGCGCTGTTCGCCTATCAATTTTCGCAATCTCAGGAAGACGAAACAAGGTCGTTCGAAGACTTTATTCACCATTCATGATCTGTCGCAACCCTTGAAAGACCGGCACTGCCGTATTTGTCAGATATTAGAGACGGCGACAGACATGCACCGCTCAAAGTACGCATCCGCTCAGGTGGGTTGGAAACGCGGGCTACAGAATGATACCCACCTTGGAACACTCGAGTTCACATACTCAAACGGGGATACCTACAAGTCTTTGAAGCCTGGTTTGAGAATATATCATGGTGAGGGTATGCCACGGAACCCAATAATCCACCCACCCAAACGTGTCGATTTTGAACGGGCCAGAACATGGATCAATGCGTGCAAAGAGTCGCATTCCGGTTGCACTGCCCGCTCTTCAAAAGTACTTAAGAGCCTTCGTGTGATCGATTGTGTTACAAGGAGCGTAATCTCTGCCCCGGAAAATTGCGTCTACGTTGCTCTCTCATACGTCTGGGGCATGTCAGAAACCTGCGACGCTCCAAGCTCTTCTGCGCTGCTAGATCAGTTACCACTTACTGTTGACAACAGTATCGATGCCACTCTCATGCTGAGGTATCGATATCTGTGGGTCGACAGATACGTAAGTTAAATACGTGCTGATATAGGCTGACTGCGGCTGACGTGGTACCTAGTGCATCGATCAAACGAGCGCTGCAGACAAACATGATCAGATAAACCAAATGGGTGATATATACTCTTCGGCGGAACTTACGCTCATCGCGGCAGCCGGCACAAACTCGTCATATGGCCTCCCTGGTGTTGGCCGCGACCGCAAGCACCTTGGACACGATGTCAGGGTCGGGCGTCTGCGATTCGTCACCACATACGCATGGGACATGGATGAGATATATCATTCAGTCTGGTCCTCACGAGCTTGGACGTTCCAGGAAGGCTACATGTCAAGACGCAGGCTATTCTTCATGGAGGCCCGGCTCATTTACATATGTGATAATAACCGTGAGGTGTACTGCGACGCCGAGATAGGTTTCAAAGACAGACGGCTCGACAGTCTGGGACACCTTTCAGATCCCCTTCCCTTCGAAAGCTTGGGCTTGAGTCATGCCGAAAACCTTCTCAAAGAGTATACGCGCCGCAAGTTGACCTTCGACTCGGACGCACTAAACGGCATAGTGGGCGTCTTGAACACGCTTAGCACTGCTGAAAGTCCTATTTTCCATACGTGGGGGGTCACCTTTGGCGGACCACCATTGGTTATCGCGTTAGCTTGGTTTCACTACAATCCATGTCGTCGGCGAAAAGCTATTCCAAGCTGGTCCCCTTTGGGGTGGGAACAAGTCACCAATTACTACTACAACTCGGCGCCCGTGATCTCGCCGAATTTCCAAGTCATCGTATGGGACAGCAATGAGTTCATTCAACTATCTAAAGTGAACCAAAATCTATTCCAGAAAAGCGGCGCCGAAAGTTTGGATAAGTCGCGCTATCTTGGGATCACGGCAAAGCTCGGTTGGATCGAAGTCCGCTATTTCTCGACAAGAGAACTATTGTCGATTAGTTGGTCGACACCCATAGGCAAAAAAAGACCTCAAAAGGTCTATACGCCTTCAGGATTCTATGTGAGACTTCCGGATGATGATGGTGATGATGGTGATACTGTAGAGATGTACGCGACGGAACCACCACGCTGGGATTTGGAGCCAGATCGTTCCTCTGGGTTGATTCGATTTTCATGCGCAATAATTCCGCAAGGTCATCTCAAGGGCCGTACCTTCGACGAAGCACGAACGATGATTGTGATTATACTCCAAAGTCACGGAACTCATTACGAACGGATTGGTTCATTCAAATATCCATCCATGTTTCGAGACAACGGAATTCTCTCCAGGAACAAGTCAGGGGGCCTTGAAATGAGGAGCAGACAGAGTTCTGGCCATGACTATGGTGATGAAGAGCTTGCAAGGGTTTTCAATAAGCCAATGATGCAAACATTTCTACTCGGTTAGGTCGAGCACGTCTGAGAGTATCTGTACCGATGTAAGCATAACAGGATGTCCCAGCGTAGACACATCAATTCTACGATGAGATGTCTGACGATGAAACACAAACAAAGCACTAACCAGTAACAGTAGATACAATTTTAGCGCAGCTATGTTCGCCATATACCATGTATCTTACGTACACCCATTACAATAACACAAACCCGCCGCACCACACGCCCGAAAACCGACAAGGAGACATGGCATCTCAATCATGAGAACAACAGCACTCAGTAGCTCAAGTAATCCCCCAATAATCCCCCACCCTCCACCTAACCGCCCACTCCTTGACCGCCTCAAAATCCCTACAAACCCTCTCGGACCCCCACCCCTTCGTCGCAACGCCCAACAGTCCATCTTCATCAACCTCTTCCTTTGTGTCTTCCAGATTGGTATCTGCAGCGCAAATAAGAGCCTGGCGCAGGTACTCGAAACAGTGCTGGATATGATCGGGATCGTCGTGCTCTTCGCCGGAGCTGAGAAGGGCTTCTATGAAAGGGTTTGGTGTGAATGTGGGGGCGGAGTGGTGCTCGTGGCTGCTGGATGTGGTTTCGATTTTTATGTGAGGCGGGCTTAGTGGTGAGCGTTGGGATTCGTGGTGTTGGTGTTTGGAGAGGAGGTAGGATTTTTTGTAGTACATTTGTCGGAGACCGTGCTGGACGGGGTTAGTGAGGTGTTTTGCCGCGGTGGTAGAGAGGGGGGCTTACTAGACAATGCAGCTCATGGAAGACGGACATGGATTTGATCTCTTTCGCTAGCTTGGGATGTTGGACGAACGCTCGTCCTTTTGGTATCAGGCTTTTCCACATCTTCTCCGTCTCAGCGCTCGGTTCACCGGCGAAACTCTCATTGAGTGACCAGACGACCTTTTCGATCCTGCGGTGTGGACTGCCATACGGCGCTGGTGACTGGTCAGTATTGCGACACATTCCGAGCCAACAGACCGGTCTGGCGGACAAGGAATCGATAGGAAACTGGGGGAAGCTTACTAAGGTATCCATCGATATCGCGTTCCATACTGAGCAGTCTGCTGAAGCCGAGACCGATCGAAAGGCCGAGAAATGCGACAAAGATGTACCCACATACGTGCATGAGACAGGAACGAAGCGACCGACGAGGTCCTCTGCTGAGCAAGAGCCCTTTGTCGTCATCGCATTCCTCTCGAAGTGTAGAGCTTGGAGAGATGCATGCGTCGCTTTCGCCATCGGTGGCGCCATGCGACAGACGTTGGTACGACGAAATCTTCTTTGTAAAGGGATTGAGGTTCGGCATTACGGCAACTTGCCAATACTCTTGACATGCAGAGTGGAGCAGAGTCGAATACTTCGGAGAATTGATGCGATATTTACATATCAGACGAATAGATTAATTCTATTCGTGATGTTGGGGAATGTATTCAGAGCCTAAACGGGTAAGCCCTGGGACATGGGAAGGATCAGCGTAGATTGGGCGACCGGTGGAGAAAGCAGTAAAGACAACTTGATTTGGTACACGATTAAGCGCTAGACCATTAATTCTCCGCGCTGGGCGCCATGACGCTGCCGTCACCAAGGGGTATCATACAATTTCTCGCCATTCGTAGGGACGTCTGAAACTCAACGCCACCGTACCAGCCATGTCCAAGGCCTAGACCACCAACAGTTGGATCGTCGTAGGTTGTAGACATCAGATCCGCGGAAGAGAGGCTAATTCAGCTTCTTGTTGCCGACGGTGACTTGTTTGCCCTGGCTGCGCTGGTATTTGAGGAAGCCGAAGACTGCGGCGGCGACGACGCCCAGCATAAGGACGTTGCCTATAGTGTTGTTAGCTCCTGAATCGATCGAGTGCGCGAGTCAAATGTCGTCAGCCAACTCACCGAGTACGAAGCTAACGATACCGCCAGCAAGGTCCACGAGACCACGGAAGAAGTTAACCACGAGGTCGATCATCTCCAACACGAAGTTGAGAGCGAACTGGACCGTCTTCTGGACTAGCGCGCCGGCAGTGGTGATGAAGGACCAGACGAGCTCGACCATGGACGAGACGAGATCGCTGAGGGCGTTGACGATGGAAGACATGTTGGTTCGGTTGGGCTTGTGAGTAATGGCGGGCGAGTGGTGTGGTATTACAGGTCTGAGGTGGAGTAGTTGATGGGAATAGTGGGGTGGTGGAGTGTAAGAGAGAAGGCTGTATCTGCCAGATATGCAGTGTTTGGTCCTGTGCGACAATGCGACAAGGCGCGACTTCCGTTAAGACAGTTTGCTTGCTGCCAAAACACGGGGATGACGCGGGGCCTACGTTAACACAGGCAGCACTTCCTGTTTCACATAGCTGCTGCCGTGGATGTGTAGGCCTGCATCCTGCCCGCTTTCCATGGGCAGCCTGGTTGGCTATTCGGGTGAATAGCCGTTGTTGTGGTGAGATGTGACGTCACGGGTGTAACGTGGGTGAACGCCTGTTTGTAGGCGACGACAGGGAAGCATGACGAATCAGAAAATGACAGAGAAGGAGCGATGCTGATTGGAGGAAGGAGAGAAACAACGAATCGAAGAAATGATGAAGGCTCGGTTCAGCTTGGAGAGGTTGGCACGTTGCGAGGAACATCCATGACTTGGCTAGTCGCGATGGTCTTGAACACGTGCCTGGTAATCTCTCGAGGTAAGGCTACCTGGCCTTGCAGAAGAAAGTTGTTGCAACAAGGCTGTTTATATTTGGGAACCGTGTTGTTGTTGGAGAGTTCGTCGGCGCTTTTGGGGAGGTGCAGCCCTGCTTGCGTCATGGCGGCTCGGCTCAAAGCGGAACCTTCGTCCCACCGTGACTTCCTTCGTATCACGGCATCGCGACACAATGTCAGGCACACTCGACAAGCTGCTAGCAAAAGGCAAGGCGAAGCTCTCAGAGTTCACTGGGCAGCCGTCCGGGGGCCATCACCAGCAAGGCCACCCGAACCAGGGCTATCCTGGCCAGCAGCCTCCCCCGGGCTACCAACAACCCGCTCCAGGCTATCAGCAGCCGCCTCAGGGCTACCAGCAGCCACCTCAAGGCTATCCCGCGCCAAATTCAGGGCAATACTCTGGCAGCCAGTATCCTCCGCAATTCCCACCCCAAAACCAGCAATGGGGGCAGCAGAATCTACAGCAGAATCAATGGGGCGCACCCCCTCAGCAGCAATGGGGCCCGCCGCCGCCGCAACAGCAGGCCCTCGCACCGCCCGTACCCCAGGGTAGCAAGCCCCAATCTCCAGCGCCTGGCGGCCCCCCGCCTATTCCTCAGAACCGACCGAACTCTGCGCAGCCTCCGCCGCCCCAGAACCTCCCTCCACCACAGGGCCAGAGCGTGTACTGGAAGCCGTCCTTCGACATCAAGACTCCCGTGTCGCAGAACTTCCGGCACGAGATCGGCGACCATGGCTGGGGCAACAACGAGAAGCAGATGTACACGGATAAACCCGAGAACTCGTTCCATCACGACAACCGCCTGATCGTGCGCGCGCTCGTACAGAACGGCAGCTATACCTCTGCGCGTTTGACCTCACACCAGACGCTATCGCGACCGCGCGGATACTTGACAGCGACCTGTCTGCCTCCGTCTGCACCAGGCATATGGCCTGCATACTGGATGCTGCCCGCAGACCCCTTCAAATGGCCGACTGACGGCGAGGTCGACCTTGCCGAGAGCTGGAACGGCGAGACAGAGAACCACTCGTGCCTACATTGGGGCTCCTACACCGGCGAGGATGCACAGAAGCATCGCGTCGTTAAGACCTCCCTTCCAGACCTGGCACGCCAACCACACACCTACGGCTTCGCTTGGATCGAAGAAGAGGGCATACCCGGATGGAGAGGGCGCATGATCTGGTACATCGACAACTACCCAGTTATGAAGGGTTGTATTCCAGAGGGCACACGCCGCATGGAAGACTTCAGGATTCTCATCAACATCGCCATGGGCGGGACCGTAAACCAGGGAAAGCTGCCTGCTGAAGGGTATTACGACTTCGTCATTAGCGATCTCAAGATGTGCGAGGAACCCCATGGCGGATGGCAACAATTCGAACATGCTTGGAACAGCACGCCTGAAGGTAAGGCGATGTAGCGAGGCTTGGTAGCAGCTACCTAGTATACCACAATTGGGTCTCTTTCCGATATCACTCCGTTCCCTGTGACCTTTCCATTCTTTCACCTTTTCGAAATTATCTGCTTGTGCACAAGTCACAAGCATGGATAAGGTCGCTGAGAAAAGGCCTAGGCGAGCCTAACAAGTGTTTTACAGAGGGAAGGAAGCGCTCTGGCAATTTGCAAAGCATTAACAAACTACTCCTTCCACGAGTATAACTGCAGGCCGGGTTCAGAACAGTGACCAGCGGCCCTACCACCTGATTGTCAACTCGATAGCCACACCACGAAGCAGCTCTACTACAGAGTTCATCCAGCATGACGACTGACAAGGACATGGCTTCAATGGCTACTTCTTGCCCAAGGACCAGCTTCAAGAGCCTGCCTGGCGGTGAGCAACATTTACCTGATTGCTCTAACAATTCGCGCTAATTTGACTCAAGAGCTACGGAACAATGTCTACTTGTTCTGCAAGAACGAAGGCATCGTGAACATGAAACGTCCCCAAGACAGCCACCCCAGCCTACGGATCGATCGCACCCGTCATCAATTCTTAGGCCTTACTCAGGTCTCGAGGACGCTTCGAAGCGAGTTTGGAGCTTTGTATCGCGAACAACTTCAACTCCGGGTGGACGCACGACACATCTACGAATACCTCGCAATGGTCATCCAGACATACAGTCTAGTGGAGGGGGGCGTCGAGACCTCTGTATGCCCGATCTTTGCCAATGTCATTCTTGATCTTGGCCCCGGAGTCAATGATCGAAACGAACACTATCTGGATATCCTCCCACTGCTGCAGATACGCTCCAAGAAACCATCCTTCATATGCGAGTTCGATTTCTCCACAGAGGTTGACACCACTCACGTTCCAACCGACCCTAGTCAACCCTGCAGCCAGCTTGTATCGGAAGCATACGGTGAGTTGCTTGTACAAGATCTGAACAAGATTCTCGCTGGTCCAAAGACATTAGCAACGGTCCGACCGGGAAACAATGATGTGGATGCCGCAATCCTTTATCTCAAAACTCTGGGTGTGCGACACCCCAGATTCAATGGGGGCCCTTATCCAGTAGTCTCAACGCCATTTCTCGACCTCTGGCTTACGACAGATCCTCCGTGGGGCTCCAAGCGCGAGCCTATCATTCACTTGGCGGGCCTCGAAACGATGGATTTCCTCAGGAATGCTGGCTTGGCCGATGTCCGTATACTGGACGTCCGGACGAATTGCTGCAAGCCGGAGGATTGGTATAAATGGCTGCATCCTGGAGCGCCCAGATGAGGCATCCAGCGCTAGATCCGTGCTAGCCGAATGGACACTAGCGTCTTTTTACTCCTTCTTGTTGACTATTTGTGTTTCCTTTATCTCTCTGCAACCTCACCTCCTACCCAGATGAACTGTGAAATAAACGCAGTAATCGTCTTTCGTATTTGCCATCGAGACCAAATTTGTTCCCTCATTTGAACGTCATCACAATGTCCACGTTAACGTTTCTATCTCTGCCTGGCGAGATTCGCAACCGCATCTACGAATACTGCGCCGAACCAAAACCTCGGCAACTTCTTCGCATGCCTAAGCGTCCAAGGAAGCATTACAGAAATACTCGCTACGGACTGTACGGCAGCCTTCGCAACGTGTGCAAGCAAACACGTGCAGAATTCGGACCAATGTACATGGCCGAAACTGTCCATGCTGTCCATCAAGTCACGGCGAATACATTTCTCTACTCGTTATATCCCGAATTGAGGCAACAAAATGAACTTGCGAGCGAGCAACTCCAGTCAGGCTGCCGGACTGACAAGCATCATGCGTCGACTAGCGTCTCTGGCCTGCAAGGCAACATTCAAATCATCACGTACTTCGGCCTCGAATACGACGCGACACCACTCATACATCTTTGCGCAAAGAATCCCGCTTTCAAAGTCAGCTTCGCAGACGCCAGCGCGTGCCTCCGTCTCGGCTGCTTCGTCAACGATTTCTTCGCTACTATCTCGTCCGGCGCTTTTCGTCCGCACATGAAGCGTATCCAAAGGATTGCGATCACGTGCAGCACTCGGCCTGAAATCACCCTCTTTCTCCCATGCTCGGTAGCAGATGATCTTATGGCACATTTTGGTGACCCACGGCGGGCATTGAATGAGATGGGTGCACCGCCTATGGACGCGTTTGCTGTCGTTTTCAGGGATGGCACTGGTAGGCTGTACGAGCGCTCAGAACCTCAGGCTTGAGTGAGACCTTATCTTGCGACGAGCCCTTTCGTGTTGACATCCAACGATGTTTGGGTCGCAAATAGGTTGATATCCTGGGTTGTGTTTTCTGTGAGGTTCCATGATTCCGAAGGAACCAATTTCGTAGAAGAACGTACCAGTTCCCAAACAGTCAAGCGCGTTTGCTCGTTGATTACGTATCTCACGTGAAGGTGAAGCCCCGCACCCGTGGACCCCACAGTACATGCAGGTACCCGATAACGCGCGCTACATCATTGCTTGGCAGCCGTACCATGGTTCACCTGGTCAGGCGCTTCCCTCTATTCTCACTTCACCACAGACTCTTCTCACAGACAACACAAGCTTGTAGATGGATCACCTACACCTGTACGTTACCCTCACACTCAGCCATCCGGGACTGACTTTGACAGCAGTAACTCAGAAATCGACGAGGAGTATCCGCTTATGGCCTCCGTAGAAGCGCAGATGCGGGGTGTTACCATGAGCGCATCAAACAGTCGCTTCTTGAATCTTCCAGGTGGTGCGTACGTCCTTCCAACTGCACAGAACCTGGCTAATTCAGTACATACAGAACTACGCAATAAGATATACAGCTTCTGCATCGATACAGACCCCGTCCCACTACGTCTCCGTCACGATGATCCGATCAAACCGGTAGGAGGATGGCGCTGCTTTACACAGACGTGCCGGCAAATCCGAAAAGAGTTCCATATCATATACATGACTGAAACTGCGTTTCGCCTAGAATCCACTTACCACTACGCCCGCTACATCCGCGATTTCTATCCACCTACAGACGAAGCCACAATGCTGCGCTACCGCGGACACATCATCAGTGTAGTTGGGCATAGCCGCGATGAGGACATGGGTGTGGACGAGTTCTACGATGCAGACATCGCCCGCGTCGTCTCGCTTGTCGCGCGCTCACCGAAAGTTCGCTTTACCTTCGAACTTCAGAAGGATCTGAAAAGATATTCATCGGCGGCAAAAAGCATCAAACAGGTCAACAGTATGCTCTCGTTATTCGCTGATTTGTCAAACTCAAAGTGGCGCGACATGGGCAAGTCGATCAAAGAGATCAGACTGAGGGTTCAATTTTCCGACTCTGCACTCCGAATCACCATGGAGCAAGACATGGCTAAAAAGTGGAAGACTGCGGTTCATGAGATGTGGCATAAAGCAGCTCGGCCCATACAGAGCATACGCGAATTTAGGCTCGCATGGCCTGACCCGAGCCCACAGGAGCGCTCATATGGGTATCGACACAAGTTCTGGTTCAGCGACGATGAAGATAAGACTAAAAGTTGTGTCTGGGGTTGGTGAGTAGTATGCCGAGAGGAAAGGGGATGGATAATACTCACACGCTCGCTTTGGCTGATGGCTGAGACATGCGCCGAGGCAGCCTGGTGACGTCTTTGGAATCTATGGCAAGGTGCTCTGGATTATCAATCAATAGTTCATCTTTCATTATGAAAACGGCTATTTCATGTCGTCCCGGGTGGTCATCAGGTTGGGTGCGTCAACACGGAAGTAGACGCACTCGATGCCACGACCTTGCAAAATAGGTAGCGCTTTACAATGTACATCTACCCTCCCGATCTCATGTCCATCTCGACAAATACTTCGTTGGCCGGAGTGGCCAAACATTTTTACAATGCCCCTCTATCGAAGCATGAACATCTAGTCCTTTCCTCTTCGTCCAACCCATACTTTCCGCAAACTTATCAACAAATCCCTCGTCGCGAACCATCACCTCGGGAACAATAACCTCGCTCGTAAGCCTCCCAGGTGCCTTCCCACTCTTAAACACGACCACAACCCTCACTATGGAAACGCCATAGTCAAGACCTCCTCTTCCAGCATGAATCACGACTTCCGCAACATCTCCACTTCCAATGCAAGTCACCCAACGTGCATCGTCAAAGCCCAGTATAGAATCCAGCTGCATTTTCATCATCGTCGGCTGCTTCAAATAGCTATGACACGGCCTGAACGATATCGACGCTTTTCCAGCGGGGTGACTACAATGCCGAATCCGCAGCAAAGGCAGTACATCCAGTCTAAGTCGCTCTACCAACGGATCTTCGATAACCAGATCAACACGTGTAGGCACGTGTTCTACAGGCCGAGAAGAACCGTATACGAAGTCGACGTAGCGGAGCCAGGGTTTTATGCTAATAGTGAGCTCTTGTTGGCGGAGGGCTAAGGGCCGGTATTCTTTGCGCATTTGCTGGCATACTTGGCTGGGCTTTATCATGCGGAACCAGGCGGATGTGCTGTGGCTCCAGGAGCTGTAGAGGACGGGTGATTTGAAGAGTTCGGTGGGGTGGTGTTGGGATAGTAAGACGTATTTGTAGATTTGGTTGCGGAGTTCTGGGGTGTGTTAGGTGGGGGACGTGTGTGTTGTTGGGGGGACATACCAGCGGGTAGCAGTAGAAGTGGTGAGGTAGTAGGTTCTGGGTCTCTTGCTGACGGAATGATTTTGGTCACATTGCGGCGCTTCTTCATATTCCTGAACATGTGTAATAGTTGATCGTGAGCACTTCTTGGCGACGGATGATGAGAGTCGACGGTATCTGGCATCGAGGAATTCGTGGAGTTATCTTTTGAAGTCATATTTCATCAGTGTAGACACCAAATTCTACACAGCGCGCTGAGGCAGGACTGTGACTCTTCGTAGTTCGTATCCATGATGGGTGTCACACCGGCACGAGGCGCACCTGGGCAGTTGTGGGGCCAAAGTAAGCGCTGGCCCCAATCGAGAAGATGCAGGTGCATGGTTAAGCGAAGATCCGGCCTCTCATACACGGCGTTGAGGTCATTTAGTTATTTCTATCTCAAGTGAATGCAAACGGTGAATGCAAACGCGTTTGTAGGCTACCAAGGTAGATGACGTCACCGCAAACGCGAGACCCTAGGTATGTTTACGGCACGTATTTCGCATCCGTACAAAAACAACAACAACACCACACGTGCAGCGTCCACAACGTCACTATGGATCGCTACACGCCCGAGCTCTCGATGCTTCGCCTGAAGCGACGCCGAGACGACGACGTCCTGTCCAGCAGTCGCCTTCCGCGAGCGAAGAAGGTCGCGTATACTCCAACAGGTATTTTCGACTTTATGCGTCTCTCAGCAGGTTAGTACCTACATATAGCGAAATATCGCAAAGCGGAAGACTGACCTCCATCCAGAGCTCCGCAATCAAATCTATGAGTACGCTGTCGCAGAAGTACCCTCTCAGCTACTCACACCAGTCCATGGACCTCGTGATCACGGCGCCGCAGGCATCGCGTTGACACAAGTCTCCCGCCAAGTAACTTATTATGTGATATGGATACGAGACATGTACTGATCTAGCATATCCACGTGTTAGGTACGTTCCGAGTACCGACCAATGTGGCTAGAAGGCGCCGAGTTCGTCATTGATTGGCACTCTGTCCACGCATTCCTCGAGAGCTTCTACCCGAACGAAGAAGAGTATGGAAGCGGTCCCAAAAAGCTCATCATTCAGTACGAAACGGCTTTCGACTGCACGCTCGATCGACCAACAGAGATCATCCATCTAGTGCGACTGGGCTTGGCTTTCAAGGGACTGGAAGTACGCATCATCCATTTCGAGGATTGTACTCCCGCCGGAGTCTCCATCACCAAGCTGGTACAGTATGGTGGTTGTACACGTCTCGGAACTGAAGACACTGCGCTAGTCAAGGAAGCGAAGCGGAAGTGGCGCGTTGCTGTACAGGAGTACGAGGTGAAGAGTGTAGCCATCACTATGCAATCTCCGGAAGAAGCCGTGGATGTTCATGTTAAGTTCAGCGAGCAGTTCGCCTCAACGACGGGTACCACCGGTGTTGACGGCCTATGGGACGAGATAATGGTATGATAGGCCCTCCACCAATGTGATGGAGGCACGCCAATCTAGGGATAAACTGAACGCCCTGGAGTCTACATTGACTTTAGATCACCTACTTTGCAGGGTTTTGGTTTGATGTAGTCTGCAGACCTGTTCAGACTTTTTCTTATATGAGGTGGAGGTGAGAAATGAGGCCTCTCTGCACGGAAAGAAAGAAGTAGAACGTAGCCAGGAAGTCGACATTGCTTCGACTTTGTTGATTCTGATCTGTAGATTAATGTAGCCTACGGTGCACATGTTCGACTCTACTTTCCAAGGTCTCGTCTGAGGTGCACGCGTGGCAGGTGGGGCCGCGGGCAATGGACGTTTTGGGTTAGCGCGGGATTGGTTGCCTGATTGAACATGAAAGCTTTAGGTACGCCAGTACGCACGCCGACTCCTACACGCTCCACGTTGATGGATGTCGCGAACACTTCATAGAGTCACCTTGCGCAATTCATAGATCAGGTTATCGCGTCCTATACCAGCGCTGTTGGCGACGCGCTTGCAGCCATGCAACTCCACGATGCTTCCATCACCTCCGGGTCGACCAATGGACACCACTTCCGCTTCTTAGACCTCGCTGCAGGTATATTATGAGCTCTTCTTCATATAATGAGCTAGACTCACTAACTTCACACCTCAGAACTTCGGAACCACATCTATGAATACGCTGCCGAGGCACCGCCGCGCATCATCATGCTCAAGCCTGGCAACCCACCCACCATCAGTCTCACACAGGTCTGCCGACAAATTCGAGATGAGTTCAGGAAGATCTACATGCAAAACGTTTCCTTCACAGTCAGAGACAAAGACATCAAGAGGTTCACGAACGCGTTCTTTGCGTCGGGCCATACGAACCAGCGGGTACTCGACGGGCAACGCCCCTCACGCGTCATTTATCTCTATCCGCCTTCCATGAATGTGGATATACTGCCTCTCGTGGAACTCAAGATGGCATACCCGCAAACCGAGGTCACCGTCATCCCCGGTCCTGCAGATATCGAAGAGCAACCCTACTCCCAGTTTAACTGTGAGCTCATAACGCACATCCTGGAAAATACGTCGCCTGCATTGAGACACGACGTCCAAGCATCCATAATCTCTGAGTTCTGCTGTCATCACAATAGTAGATTCTACTTGTGGTACAAGCCGGGGCATGTACCCCATGGTGTGGACATGACATTTGACCGGGAAGGGCAAGCTTTCACGGATCAGATGAGACGGCTCTACAACATGACAAGTTTTGCAGATTTGTTTGGGGTTTATCATGGCGTTGCATTTGAAGGCATTGATGTGCGTAATTCCAACAATTCGAGCCGGGCGGAAGATGGAGAGAAAGTATAGTCAGAGAGTGATCAGATCGGGCGTTGATATCCCGCGCTAGCTTGCGGTCACACATTGTAGCATCATCGTCAAAGACCTCTACAGATTGTAGGTACTTGTATAGATAATACCCCAAGCATTCAAATCACGTAACTTGCGGCATGCTTCACAGATTATATGTTTGGACGCAATCTACTCTTAGTCACGTGGAGACACGTGAATGTGGATCGCATTAGGCGACTACCCAGGTAGCGCAACACTAACAAGGGCCACTCTACCGTTGTAACTTCACCTTTAACCCACTGCGTCATCTTTCCACTACAGTCTCACAACATACACCCCCGACGCAGCTCCGACTTCATCTCAACGATGGCCCACACCACTATTAGCAGGAGCGACTGCAAAGACCATTTCCGCTTTTTGGACTTGCCAGCAGGTAAGTGTAAGCTGGTTGAAGTCAAGACCATGACTAATATGTGTATTAGAGTTGCGCAACCGTATCTATGACTTCACGGCCGATACTGAAGCGGACCTACCTCGCGGCGTACTGCTTTGGCTTGGGCTCGCGCAGACTTGTCAACAGCTGCGAACCGAGTTTCGCCCTATCTGTATGAAGCGAGAGATCATCCTACTTTGGGGAGAGGTCACCGGCTATCTGCACACTTTCTTTCCGAACGTTGACGGCAAGATCGAGAATGCTGAGTTTGTACCGAAAGGCATGACAGTTGTGACTCCGTGGCGCGGGGAAGAGGAAGGGGACGGATCTGAACTTGACCTGCTACCAATCATCAAGGTTGGACTCTGCCGACAGGATTTCACCTGTCGCTTCGTCCATGACAAGACTAGCATGAACCATGTTATTGAAGACGGACAATACGATCCGGATGCGTTCGCAGAATTCATCAGTGAAGACTCTGGTTCCCTAGAGGAGGTAGTACGCAATCGGAACGAAAGGTGGCTGCTCGAAATCGCGACTGGTGTTATCAAGAGAATTATCGTTTCCAACATCGGCGTCTACGGCCCCCCTCAGGCTGAATTCTACATGAAATACTCGCTATCTGGCCCTGAGTCGGACGAGGGCGGGGAATACTCAAGCACAGAGCTATACTTTAAGAGCGTTGGACTTCTCGAGGCTTGGACATGGAGCGTTTTCTCAGCTTTTCCTACACTGGAATTTGAGGCTTGAAACACTTTTTCAAGGTGTATCAGCATTGGTTTACCGATCATATTCGTCGAGTCAAACCACGCACATAATTGAGAGGATGAGGGAACTGAACAAGATGACAAGTGAGCTACAGCCTCCGTTGATGTAACAATTAGATCTAGTAGAACCTTAAGGCTACGCATTCCTTTGAATCATTCGGGTTTATTCCTCTCTTTGGTTGCTGTTCAAGTCTTTACTTTCGCCAGATACACGCGTCACGCGGACCGCGGTGTCGTTTACCTGGCGTGGGTACTCACACCACGGACCACCACGCTGATGACTGTCTGTAACTTGCTGACTCTCTCTTTCTCCTCCTCTCTAATCTTACAATCCCGTTTCACAGATAACTACTTATGACGTGTGGAAAAACTCATTTCAACTCCTACAACGTTGTCGCTAATCAACATGAGAACGCGACGCTCACCCCCCGAGCCCTTCCGCTTCCTCGACCTGCCTGCAGGTGAGTCCATTAGATCGCAAAGCGTGTCGAAACAACACTGACGTCTTCGCAGAACTTCGTAACGCCGTCTATGAGTTCTTGACTGCCGAATCCGAAGGCTGCGTCGGGCGATTCGCTCTAAAAACGAAATCACCTTCGCTCGGTGCTAGCTCTACTCCCGCTTCAATATTTTCACTCGCACACGTGTGTCAAAAGGTGCGTAAAGAGTTCCTCTCGCACCTCTTTGCCACGTTGGAAGTCGGTCTAGACTGGTTGGATGTTGAGTACTTCTGTCACACGTGGCTGTCCACCCGCCCGCCGAAGTCGATCACCGTATACATTGACGAACACATTTCCACTGAGCCTCCCATTCAAAAGCCGAAATTTGGATGTGGGTCCTCGACCGCCGATGAGATTGCTGCTGAAATGGAGGCCGTATGGCAAGGCATTGTCCAGGTGCGCCGACCGCGCCGAGTGCTACATCCGTCGCTCAACCTCCTTCCGCTACTGCAAACGCGACTCCTGCGTAGAGACTTTGTCTGTCTGTTCGCACTAGATCCGAAGGTCGACTGGAATGCTGTGAAAGAGAAGTATAACAGCGAGGACACACTGACTGACGAGCGCGTCGCTACAGCCGTCCAGGACCTCGCGCAGTTGATGATCTTCGGTAATGAGCCTTGGACGCAGTGCATGGAGAGGAAGCTCGATGAGGTTCTACTTCACCCATGGTCAGACTGGACAGATCTACAGATTGAGCTCGTGTTCAAGGAGCAACCAAACGATTTCAAGACCCTGAGCAGCAAGACACGACGCTGTTATTTGCCTGATCTGCGTGGGGCGGGACTGCGAGAGTTCTACGCGACAACCGGCCTGACATTCAACATGAGCATGGCGTCTTCGTCTCCAAAGCCAGACTGGGAAGAGAGTCCTCGATTACGCTAGGAGCGATAGAAGCCATTATGCCGCTATACCCCACTCCATTCTGTTCCCTCATTTCCCCACCGCCGATCCACCACCAAACCCAAACGTAACATCCCTCCTCAAAACCACCATCTCAAAACTCGTCTTGCAGCTCCAAGTACCCGGTCCCCACGTCTTCTTCCTTACCACCTCATACCCTCTCTTACGCCAATACGCGCCGTTGAGACACTCCGCGGCCAGAATCCAAAGGCTCAACACGCGTTGGCCCTGCAGTCCCTTTTGTTCGAGCTGGATGGTTTCTCTGACGATGAGATATTGCTGTAAGAAGTCGAGCAACTGGATAGCAAGACCGCGGTGGTGGTACTTCGGATCTCCATCGACACACACGATCTTGATTTCCCAGCCTGTTTCCGTGTCGGAGCCTTCTTTTTCCCAGCCGCCTTTCCAGGGTACGAGAGAGGCGCATGCGACGACCTTTCTACTCTCTTCCTCTTTGATGCTACCGTTCTCGTTCGCGCTCGCCGCGTCATCGAAGATCAATGCGATAACGCTGCCCGCCCCACTCAGCAGCGTATGAAGCCCCTCTTCATCGCTGAAGCGCGATTCCGAATTATCCCATTTCGCCGTATCTCGTTCATACGAACGATAGAACGCGACGTTAACGAGTTGCGTGATGGACTTCGATAAGCTTGGATTGGATCTCAGTTCCGATGGCGTGAAAAGCGTTGGTGGGGAAAGTTTTGTCGTCATCATGCGGGTGGAATGAACCTTTTGATTACTTTTGACCGGTTTAGAGATTCGAGCTTTGGCTCAGAAATCTTTTTCATTTTGGAGAACACCATTGAGTCATTACGTGCGACAGGGCTTGGAGGTTGAAAGTGCTCCCCAGGCCGTGTGCGAAATTCCAGGTGCCCGCCTCATCGGAATCGGAATGGCTGGGTCATTAATTCCGAACAAAAAGTAGCGAGGATGCACCTTCTTCTTTCGGCTAATATGTGATGGGTCTAGAACCTACTTGACAATTTCGTCTCGAGGTGTACATCATTTGACGTCTTCGTTTTTCTGACGTTCGATGAAATTCGATGTGAATGGCATGATTCGGCCGCATGCCGAGGTTGCAGCACGCTGATGTAAGTCGTCATGATCGAAGCCGCATCCGCAAGGTCACCAACATGGGTAGAAGCGAGCGTCACAACACCTTAATTGTTAGTCGAGAATGATGACAGGAGTGTACACGAAGCTTTTTTAAGATATGAATATATTGATGCATTTGAAAAATGCTTCTATAGTAGCGCCAGAGGGCGGAAATGGTATCATAAAGCGACATTACAGCGACGCTGCAAGTACAAGGAAAGACGAGGAAATTTTTGCGCGATCTACGCGATGCTTCATATCGTGCGTGGGTATAGGTCGACATAACGGTCTGAGCATTAGCATGCGCGGCACGCTTCAAGACCACGACTGCCAACTTGGCTTTTTCTGACTTGAACCGCGTGGGGGGTATGGCGACTCCCGCGCGGTTGGCGGTGGTGGCATGGGAGTGGGACTTCTTTCCCTCCTGGATTCTTGGCTTATCGCCGTACCGGGCAGGGGAGTTATGGGTAGCCTCTTCTCTGTGGGCGAGAGAGGGTGCGATGCCAGAGGAGCAACGCTTGCTGGCGACGTTGGCGATGCAGGTGACATGGGTAGTGGAGGGAGTGCCTCCAAGTCGTGCCCTTCGAAGAGATGAGTCGATCGCATGCTGGATGCTCGCGAGTTGTGGCCTGTGGTGTAACGACCAAGCTCGATGTCCTCGTAATCGCGGTCGCAGATCATGTCGGCTGTCATAGTTGACACAGGGCGGTCAATGCCAGTGGGTGTCGGCATCGCCGAGCTGGTTGGCGACATGGTCACTTGCACCTCTTTGTGCACATGCACACCTCCATGCGGGTCGACAGTGGTACCAAGGTGAGAATCGTAATATCCCTTGGTGCTGTTGGCCCAGCTTCCGCCTGTAATGCTCGCACCGAACTTCCTCCACGAGTTCTTCGACTTGGTGTGCGCACTATCCTGGCGATCATCGGTACCAGCTGGTGTTCTTGTCTTGGATCGCTGACTGAGCTTTTCCTGGAAGAAATGTTTGAAGAAGACCTTCATGGCGGGCGCATTGGCGCATAAGCATCCGATGTACAGCTCGAGCATGCAAGTAAGAAACAGATTCCATGTGTGCCATGTCACGTCGTAAGTGCCATAGAAGGTGTACCAGCTGTAGTAGGCTCGCACAGCTCCCAGTGCGACGACACCGTAACCCATGGCAAAGATACCGAACAACGCCAGCTTTTGTCGGATCGGTATCTGAAGATTCCAGTAAAGGAACGTAGGAAGAACGGCAGTCAGGGCGTCTTGGGCGCAGGATATGATGCTGGCAGCGAAGACGTCGGCACCTTCGTCGAAGCAGTGGAACTCGTAACCTTGTAACTTTTTGATGATATTTACTTGATCCCAGAATGCTGAGATGGGTTGGCAGCCCAAGATAGGTGCCAAGGTCAAGGCAATGGTGTAGGCGATGATGAAGCCGATAGTGGCCCAAGTCACCCATACGAATGTCTTCGACACGGCGCGGGCCGAGAGGCGTCGGTAGAAGAGAAGAATGGAGACTTTGACGAGGCCAGTTGCAACACAGAAGACACATTCGGTTGCGAGTACGTATTTCCGTGCGTTAACGATGATTTCCGGTTCGAAGAGGTAGTTTAGGTCCCAAATATGTCGGTCGAATGCTTGGTTGGTTGCTGAGAAGCATTAGCTAGATAGCAATGGACCGGTTTGAGATCCTACCTAGGGGATATATGACTGTCAAGGCGATAACTGGAGGCTAGGATTGTTAGCGTAGCCATGATGAGTGATCACTGATAACTCACAAGGGCAGCTAACATCAACCAGTCGTCCCAGCCGGGACATCGTTGATGAAAGATTCTGACCCATAACCGTACAAGAGTCATAACGACGGTAATAGGTCCAAGTACACACGCAATCCACAGGACGGCGTTTGGTCGAAGTGTAGGGTTGACATAGTTTGGTGTTGGCCAACTCAGTTTGACCTCGATGGGGGGGTTTATGCCACCAGGCATGATGAAGATGATTCGTTAGGTTGTGTGGTGCGTGGATCGTTGTCAAAGTTCGAGACAGTTGAACAACGGCTTTTCGAGTGAAGGGATGCCTACCATTTGTGCATGGTGGCTTTTGAAGTACCAAACCTGTTAAATGGGAGAGGAGCATGGGGGCGTAAGACATCCGCCAGGGCTTGACAAAAGTGGGCCGACCACAAAAAACAATTCCAATGGTCGACCAATACAGCGTTTGGGAACGATGACCGTTAAGGTGCGCATAACGGCAGTCGAGAGCTTGCCCGGCTATGTACCCACCCGCATATACGAGCATCGACGCGGAGATGGGATATACTCCGTAGACGATGAACCGCGTGGTCGTTGTTAGTCTAGGATACTGATCGGTGAGAAATAATGATACCTCTTGTGGTACTGTTCAACACGACTTCGAGTCCCGGCATTAATGTGCCCATTATGCGTCAGTGATCTCAATTGGGAGTATAGAGCGGACTTGCTGCAGTGAGTAGCAGTTGCTGTTCACGCTTTGCCACACTCCTGTTTTGAAACCTGGAATGGCCTTTTACGTCGAATTACGTTGCATGCGCGTATACTCATGATCCTGGAATGATCAAGGGACGTTGACAGAATTCTAGTGGCCGGTAGTGGACCCGAGAATTCTACCCTGCTTGACCACGACAACGTATTGGAGTTTGACGAAACGCGAGTCCGACCTTGAGTTTCCTCGCGTACGGGTTGTCAAACATGCGTAACCGACAGGGCTCGAGCCAATCTGCAGCGGTCGGGCGCTCCCGCCACGGTGGTCCCTGTCAAGAATCTGTCCGGAGTGGCGCCTTTTCGATCGATACCATCTGCATCGTACGTGATCGTGTCGGCTATCGAGCTCAATTCTCCCGCAGCCGTGACCGGTGTACGATGAAGTGGTGTCGAGGACCCGTTTGTGACAAGTTTGCATACGGTGGCAAGTGTATGCAGTCACCTCCGAATTGGGAACACTAGAAGGATCAGCGGCTTCGCAGCATCTGTAACGATGTGAAATGGAAAGGTCCGAGAATTAGTCGCGGAGATGACAGGAGACGCAGTATGCCGTCATCCCCCATGCGCGATGATTCGCCCACGTCCACAATGCATGCATGGTGTGTTCTAAGATTGAAGGTAAGGTAAGAGAATTTGAAGCAAAAAAGTAAAGACGCATAGGTCTGGAGCTGTCAGGTACCGGTCAGAGTGTGCGTTCGTACCCCCGGCTTGTGTGCATCAAACCTTGGCGTGGTGTGGTGGGGTGCGGGACCGGAAGGTGGGGGCGGGTGGATTCTGGAGCGAAAGCGGACGCGAGAAACGCAACAGCGGCATGCCTACCTATGTAGGATAGAGCGCTGCGATGAAGTCGCAGTGATAGTCGAGAGATACCTGTTTCCGCGGCTACAGCGTAGGCGTTCAGCCCGAAGGGCGTTGAAGAGAGGGGTTACGCCCGTAGGACGCAAAAATAGTCGCGGAATCAGGATGGCAGCCTCGCCCTAGTACCCAAACAGCAACGCGCTCTGTGAGCATCTAAGCGACTGAAGCTTCACGATAGTTGTTGCATCGTCCTAAATCCTACAGCGCCCTTTTGTTGTCTCCGCGGGCACTTGCGATGCAATTGTGAGTCACCCAGAAGGATGCATGATAAGCATAGTTTGGCTTCATCAAGATATAAAGGTCTGGTATCGAGGATGATGTAGGTAAACACCCAAAGCACTGCGTACCTTCCAAGTTTACAAGATGACAACCTCTGCCTCGTTCAATGACGCTTTTCAGTCGGCAGTTGCATCCGGCCCTGAGCGCCTGCTGCCCGGTGTGGCTCTCGGTGCTGCAAGAGCACTTCGAAAGGGTATGGTCTGGTTTTGCATGTTTTCTTTTGCCAAAACACTTGCCAGGGCCGTT